AGCGACCGGTTCTCAACCGGCAAGGATTAACCGAGCTGCACGCGGTCGTTGCGATCGGGAATTCGTCTGGCCCTTAGACAGCACCCTCGGAGAGCGACACACTCTTCATCAAATCCGACACCTCCCGTCATCGGCCTCTCGCGCACACTCGCGCACACATACATACGCACACACATACGTACACGCACACCTTACACGCCGTCTCGTCGTTTAAGCTTAAGCTTATCGGTAGTTAAGTAAATATCTGTAAATCCTCTCTATGTACACCCTGTTTGAATAGTTCCCTTAAATCTAGTCTTAAAACTCCGCGTTACATCGCCTGTGTCGCGTGGAACTCTGTTCTCGAAGAGAAACCCAGCCGCGCCGTTTTAGTGTCCGGCGGCTTCGAGATCCCTCGGGGCCGCCTCGGGGCGCAACGATCCTTCGACGATCGTCTGGAGAACACTGCTTTCTGGTCTGTTTTCGGAGGACGGTCGACCCGACCGGGGGGCTCCGACCCTTCTTACGCGGTCGACCCTGCTCTCGGAAATGCGTTTTCTAATGCAGGATAAGAGAAACTCGTTACCGGCCGTCGGTAACGCGAGGACGTCGGAAGGGGTGGCCGAGCCTTGTTCATGCTGGCGTTTAAGTCTCCGGACTCGATCGTCGGATTGCCGGACCCCCGACTCCTGTTTTTCTTCATCACCCGGACGAACTTACAAACTAATTCTGCTGACCGGCCGCCACTTAAATGTAGCTCTATGGCTGCTGGAGCAACAGCTGCTCCAGCTCGTCGGCGGACCTCAGCAGGAACGCCGCGGATTCTCGATATCCGGTGATCAGTTGCCTCACGGCCGTCATTTCTGTTGCGTTTAGCTTGTGACTCAGCAGCGGCTTCGTGTTCTTCATGCTTAGGTCCGTCGGTCCTGGAAGAACACAATTCGGCGTTAACAATGAATTAGGGGACGAGGGGAGGTTTCGTTGGCGGTTTTCAAGCGGTTTTCAAGCACACGACACCTTGGCTGGGAAATTAACTCTTTCGATACTACGAGCCACTATAGTGGCCCTCCATAAGATGCCATCGAGGTACTACGAGCCACTATAGTGGCCCTCCATAAGATGCCATCGAGGTACTAAGGGCCACTATAGTGGCCCTCCATAAGTTCGATCGTTTGTAGCGAATAAAGTCAGTGCTTACTGCAGAAAGCTAATTCACCTTATTTTTCTCTCAACAACGGATAAATAGATATGCCTTATTTTTTTCAATTTTGTTCAACTTTATTTGGATTAACCCTTTTGCTACGGGCGGGTTCTCCACTGCGGTACCCCCGCAACGATCGGCGTCTTGTAGCGTGCAGCGATGTCGTAGCGAAAGGGTTAATGGTTGGGATTTTTGCTGAGCGTGAAGATGCTTTATTACGGCGGAATCATTGGTTCGCGTTTTATCTGGCAGAAGTTATTTGACTTCTTTGGACACACCGAATCGGCGAGAATGACTGATTCCTGATTTTTTCTTTTAGTGAGTTTTCTTTTTGTAAGCTGCTTTATTCGAGCATGTATTATAATAGAAATCGTGAGAAGTAGTCTACGGAAATTTTGAAAAATAATATTAGTTAAATAATAATAAATAGGGAAGCTAAATATCGCGAATGGCCAGGTTGTCGATGCGATATTAAAAAATGAGAGCCGAAGAGGACGAAGAGAAGGGTGTACTACAACCATCACATTTATTTATATTTAGGTCTAGGTGTTCCAGTGTTGAAAGTCAATCATAATTGACAGCCATCGTTTTAGTTTCGTAATTAATACCTCGGGTTTCTTCAAATAAAATCTTTCTTTGAAGATTATTATAAATTCGAGTCTAGCAACACTGGTGCGACTAATGTATCTTTCTGAAAGGACTTTTAGGAATCTTGTGTGGAAGATTATTTCCAAACCAACGAGTCGTATATCTACTGACTACGTATAATAAATTACATATGCTGAATTTAGAAAATAGATCAAACGACTGCCAACGATAAAAATAGCTATAATAAAAGCAGTCAGTCTCCACCGGCATTGTCTCTCTTAACCTACAAATAAAATCCGTCACCTAAATATTTTCTTTACGAATGGCATTAAAAATCACAGTACATGTATTTTTAATGATTGATAATTTGTCTAGATCAACCGGTATTTTTTCATTAGACAGCATGCACATTATTCTATATACAAATTGTTTATGATCAAGAAATTTAAATAAAATATATTTAAATATATCTTAACATGTAGCACATAATGTTATTAAAAAAGTAGATACATGTCTACCAAAGAAAAACATAAGCAGCCTAAGAAATATTTAAAAACAATGATGACAAACAAAAAATTCCTATCTATCTTTTCTCTACGGGATCAATCAATCCATGTTCACAATGCATTTACAAGCATAAATTGTTAGACATTGGTTGCAGAAAGCGAAAAATATTTTACATCAATTCACATATGAAGAAGAATAGACAAGTACAACAAAACGTTAAGCATATAAATCATTGTTAACTGACTCGACTCCCAAGACTCGATTATAATATCTATCTTTAGCCTAAATTTTTGTTCCCCCTATTTTCCGAACCATCAGCTAGTGGAGCCGGTTACTGTGGTGTGATCAATCGTTGTCCCATTGGTTTGAGCATAATTAACTGTATCTTCATCGAATGATATATATTATATTTTTTCATTCTCTCATTTTGTTTACTTTTCTAATTAAAGTATTTAATTTGTCTTGTTCGGTAAATATAAAGTTAACCATGAGAAAAGAAAACAAAGGCACAGCAATTGGTCATCCCGCAGTAACTAGCTCCACTATCCTGTAGGCCAAATGAAGGCCAAAAAGCCCAAATAAAGAATAACGAGTCCGACGAAGGATTACCTTTTCTCTATCAATGATCAAAATTTTGTAATCTCCCCATTTTTTCCCACGCTAGAGCGCCGAACATTCTATCCACGAGAACCGAAAGCACAGGAAACATGAGATAATTATTAAGAAAGTCCCAAAAAGCCTATCTGTCGACTCGAATCCAGTTCGTCAACTAATCCATCCGAAACCAACAATAATCTATGCGATGAGCGACTAAACCGGACGATATTAACCAAAAACGGAAGTTAAAAAATTCGATCTGTGATCTCGTGCGCGGAACGTGACTTGGTTCCCATCCAAACGAATGGAAGAATTGTCTTATCTCCTGGGAGTCGGTTGAGCTACGTGTGCTCTAATGATTCCAGCGACTTCGGTGGCTGGCCACGAACAGAGCTGGCCCAGTCAACTTAGCTAGCGAGAACCATTAGGGGACACTGCGGAGGGAAAACTGTCAAATGAAAAGAGACGTAAGCGGAAGCGAAATTATAAGGACACCGATAACCAATATTACTTTGTGTACCGTTGCTCAGGAGACCGGACGTGAAGCTCTGCGTCGGGTACAGTCCCGCGGAGAGGGTCGGCGGCACCGTCGTTGGTCCTGCACGCTGGAACGCCTGGCTGAAGTTCGGTCTGTACATCGCCGTGGGTGCACCGCCGCTGGCAACACCATTAACGGCCGAGGAGCTGACTATCGTTGCCTGGCTGAAAAACGCGAGCGAGATTCGTGTTAACGATAAGGTGTAGCATTGATTAGCTCCGCCCGGTTCCGCCTCCGGCTCTCTCACTTTTCGTTCCGTGACCTTTGACCGGCTACGCGACGCTTTATCTACGACTCCTTCGCCGTTGTTACTCGTCGTCGATCGGTGAATGAGAGATCACTCGGCGGGAATGAACATGCGCTGCGTATATCGGTTACTGCAGGCCGCGGGATTATTTTCACGGTTCACAATGGTCCGGAGCTCGGTAATTTTCTTGGCGAAACTCAATTCTTCGACGTTCATATTTCGAGATTGTATTTGTTTTTCCGCCAAGCTGACAACCCTTTGAAGCCTTCACGTACGAAGCATTTCGTCGGGCAACTTTACGGTGGAATATAGCGTTACAAAGAGAAATGTGTTGGATTGAAAGTAAACGTAGTTGTTTGAATTATTTGTGTGTGTGTGTTGTCGAATATGAAAAGTTTCAGTTATATTTTCACAGATGTGAGCACTTATATTTTTATGGTTATTTCATTTTGGTAGAAGCATCTTATGAGGCACATACGAATTGTTCAAGGCTTGCAAACACTTAACTTTGGTCACTTTGATCAAGGCTTTTATCGCAATGATCGAACGTGATTGATTTCAGACTTATTTCAGATGGAAGTTATACAATTCTGAGAAAGTATACAGTAAATTCGTCCCAATTTTCCTTCGGATTGTAAACAAAAATCGACGACTTTGGAAGAGGAGATACGATTATTCGAGCCTCGCGACTCGTTTTTATAGTTGGCGATTGTCAACAATTATAAAAGCGAGGTGCAAGACACGAATAATCGTAAAATTAGGGAGAATTTACTGAACCTGAAATTGAAATATAATCTCATTCAGACGAATCACAGATAATGATTTATTATTTCTAATTGCATTTCTTGCATTTTCCACCTTAGCGTCTAGTAATCTAAAATAAATTCGATTAAGTTTCTATTAAAAATCAGATTGTAATATGAATCTATAATGAGTGCATAAACGTCGCTGCAAATGTATTTAATTGAAATCAATCGTGATAACTAAAGATTTATATTAAGAAAAGAATATAAACTGCCTTTCGTTATTAGCGACCTTGAAAACTCTAAATTAAAGCGTTCCAGAAAAATTTGACGAAATCCTGACCTTTGGTCAAAAATTACCGATCTCCGGACCACTGTGCGATGATTATGTCAACATTGGGTAGTTGCAATTTAAAATAGTAGAAAGATTAAACACCTTAAAATGTCAATGTATTATTTTTAATCCGCTAAAGTGATTAAAGAATATAATATATAAACACGCTATTCTCTTTATTTCGCATAAAAATCCGCAATCTCGTAATTAGTAACTTATTTTTGCTGCTACAAATTTGATATAGCCTAAATTGGCTTGGTACCTGTGCAAAATTCGCCAATGTTCCACAAAATAACGTAGTTTGAATTTATACACCATAAAGAGCTCCGTATTTCAATCGTTATTGATAACTTATTTTTACATTCTATGCAAGATATTTTTTCAGAATATATGTGATTAGAAATATAGCAACTAATATCGCATTATTTTATATGAAAATATGTTTTCTAATGTTCAAACCGTGCAGAACAAATTTACTAATTATTTCAATGTATTTCAACTTTACGTAGATCTATAAAATGGTAATCTTGGTAATTCTGTGTTTTCTCTGATAGCATTCTATTGAGTAATTAATTACAAGACTGCGGATATTACGCATTTATGATAATAATGAGTAGCTGTTGCTTCCAAGAGAAAAGAGAATAAAGGAATTGAAGAATATCGATATATTACTGTCGGCTTACTATAATTGTTAAAGAAAGAAAAAATCTTCCTAAGCGATTCTTGTCTAAAAGATGTAGACAATTTTTATTTTGCACAAAGATGCGCAGAATGATGACACAGAATGCGCTATATTTTAGGTACCAAATGTCATTGGTGAAGATATTAAAATTTTTACGAAGCTGCGATTGATCGCAGAAAAGTTCCACCACTTTGAGTTTTATCAGGTTAGATTGGGGAATCGCGAAATTTATGTGTGATTTTTATACATCGCACTAACAAAATCTTTGTTCTACCGTCGACTGAATTCATTTACAGGCTGTATTGTAAAATAGTGAAATGCTCTTTGTGTGCGATTCTTTGTACATTTATGTGGTGGCGTACAATGAAATGTAAAATATTATTACATTCAATATTGATTTTACTTCGCTGTTAACGCATTGAAAGCATCGACTGTGAGAATAAACTTTTGGTTAACTCCGGGCTTCATGAATTCCATTGAGGAAATTTTATGCTGAGCGTAGATTAGTTTAACACATACTGAGCTGGATATGACATTTATTTTTGTACACAGTCGTCATTGGGTAAGTAAGTTAGTAAAAGTAGATAATCCATTTTGTGCTTAGTCTTTTATTGTGCTACATCTTTTTACTCTGAGTTACGAATAAAATTTTAATAACGCTAATTACTTCAACGTACAATCTAAATTGACACATATAGTTCATTCTGATAGAGAATTCATTGTATCATTTGTAGAAAGTAACTGATTGGCTTTCATTATTGCCGCAGTTAAATATTAATATTCCAAGGAAATGACTTTTATAGCTTTCTTTAAAGAGTATAGATATTATAACATTCTTTCTCTAATTTTCAACAATACATATATGTTGATATTGCAACAGAGGCATTTTTTCATTTCACACGCCATGTGGCTTGCGATTAGACAAATACATAGTTAGTAAATGCAAATAGCAATAATAAATAGATTATAAGCGTTCCCACAAGTTTTCATTTTTCTGGACTTTCAAAAATGCATTGAACTGTCCAAAAGTGTATGCACTTTTTATCAGTGAGACTAATATAAATAAATTGAACTAAACTCAAAATGGCAGAATATAATCTACTTGAACGAAGAGCATATAGCTTGTCTTATAGCAACAGTTACTAATTACGCTCAGATACGATGCAATTGTAATGAATAAGGATATCCAAAACCACTAATTGATTCGACACTTGTTTTCGACCAATTCTGCGAACTATAAATGCATGAAGATTTGCAGTCTGGTAACAAGTGAACGATCGGCTTTAAAATATATAGCACAGCGGAACTCAATTTATGTAAACTAATTTTTAGCAGTGCCTAGTTAACTGAATTCTACTCTGACTGAATTCTCTTATATGAACGCGAACTCCTATTAAACAAACGAAAGATCATAGTCTGTGGCAGCAGACAAATGAACTTCTTTAAATAAACCTCTATTTGGCACATTTTATTCGAATAACGAACAACGAATAAAATAGTATCGAATACAATTTTATTCGAATAACGAATAACGAATAAAATAGTATCGAATACAATTTTATTCGAATAATATTTCGAATTAATTAATTCCACGAAGAATATTTTATCCTCAGAATTCACTCGAATTCACTCGAATTATCATCATATTCATATTCATATATATAGTCATACTCTGTATTAAACGAATCACCTGATTATGCGAACCAACTGGTCTCTGAACAGGTTCACATAAACATCATTCGCATGAATGCAGTTCTGGTGTATCAATAGTGAAAATTCTACTGAAAAATAATTGACGGCCACGTGATGCAATTACAGGGCCAGAGTATTCCACATATTTTTGACCAACGTGAAATTCGTGTTACTGACCTCATGAGACCCTTGTTATCCGCCGGTGTGAGCAGCTTCGACGCCGGCGCAAGAGATAGGGGTGTAGAAGAGAGGGTGCTGCTCGGTAAGTTCGCCAAGCTGGTTAACGGCGCTAGGGACGTTAACGATGTCGGCGGTGTATCCTCCCTCTTGATCGGAAGTGATTTCACCGGCGTACTCGAGAAATGCTCCAAACTTGACCGGACATCCGTTTGCTGTAACCAAAACGCGATCTTAGACCCTCGCAGTGTTAAACTACCGATGGAAAAACCGGCAAGCTTTCGCGTTTTCACGTTCGCGAAACTAGTTTTCGGACTCCCCGCATTTCATGCTCGAGGGGAAACCGCTGAGGAAAAACTGTTGGCAGTTCCCAAGCTCGTCTTTTCTTGTTCAAAGCTACGGTCGCGCCGAGTTTGTGCGCTTATTTATATCTTTATTTGCATCATATTCTCGTTGAAATGATAGCCTGTTGTCCTCAATAAGGGGCCCATCAACAACTATTTTAGTTGCACTACGATCGCTTTCATGGATACATCGATTAGCACTTTTTTGTCACTAGATAATACCTAGACGAGAAAGGAAACTTATATTTATCGCGTGACAATCTTTGCTTTAAGAGGGAACACCACCCTGAGGTATTAAAAAATAGGTAAAGTTTGGGAATTTTTTTATAGGTAATTACCAAATAAAAGATTTGGTCTTTCTAAGACAATATAAATGTAAGTCTCAGTTTTGTTTTTCAATTTTTTTTCTAAGGTAAGGATGGTACAAAATGGCGACGTCATTCGTTGTTGTCAACAATACCATCTCGTAGAACATTGATTGTCGGTCATCAATTACTGAGACGTCTGAATTAAAAAAATCTTGTTGATTCATAAACTACAAGCTATTATCTAAAATGTAGCGTACGGCTTTTCGAAAATATGAATAATTGTAGAAATAACTGCAGTTTGAAGAGAAACCAGCTGTTTTTATCCCAAAAATCGAATTTAGATGCTTATAAAAAATTAAATAATTAACATATCAAAAAAATCGTACGTTGAAGATCGTAGAATACTCTACAAAGAATACCTCCATAAAAAATTTCAAGTAAATCGAATGCATAGTTCCGGAGATTTCGTGACAGCCATGTTGAAAAATGTAGTTTCAACGAAAACATAAAAGAAGTTCCAAGATATTTTATCTTTATTATTAAAATTTTGAAAGAATTATTTTGTGTTTTACACAGCATTCACAACTTGTGTAGAACACATAACCATACCGATTGAATTAAATTTGAATTTGTGTATTTAATATTATATTTATGTATTATCTTCATAATATATGAAAAACCAGAACGCGGCCCTGATTGACCACACCTGTGCCCCAGTCTTTCCTTCGCGCGCGCGATTGCAATGATTAAAACAATTTCAAATTGTAATAATTAAACTGCACATTTATACATGTATGGCGCGCTCATCAATAAAAGTTAACAACATTTTAATTTTATTTACATCACGGGGAATCTTTTAATGAAAGACAGAAATGTTTCTCTCAGTCTTTCTGAAATTAAGCACGAAAATGTAAATTTGCACGAAGATCCACAGAATTAGAACAAAAAGAAAAATACGTATCAAGTGTGTAAAACGAATGTTTAAATATCGACAATAAGAAAAAACGAAGTCTTAGTCCGACAAATTTGCACGAAGATCCACAGACCAGTGTCAATTTCTTAGAACAAAAAGAAAAATACGTATCAAATGTGTAAAACGAATGTTTAAATATCGACAATAAGAAACAAACGAAGTCTTAGTCCGACTTCAGAGAAAATAACATTCTTAACAGGTTACACTTGACATCTACGTGACGAGTCTGACCTAGGCGCCAAGGGGTTAAAGTTCCCGCGGCAATTATTCAAGCATCGGATAAGAACGTAAACAAAAATTCAGTTTTGCTTACGCGCTCTTACCGAACATAATTTACCTTCCGCAGATAAACGCGCGAATTAATACTAAACAGCTTATTAAAACAAATTCGAGGAATTTCAAGATTCTTGATCGAACCATCGAGATTTTGTCAAAGACTCGGAGCCAGAACGCGACGAAACATTTTCCAACAGCACATTGAACAATCGCGAGACGATCATAGGAGGCGGAATCTATTCAGGTCTCAGTCAGGCCACGACTTTTGGTTCTCCGGTTAAATGTACCATAATCGTAGCATTTCGCTGGCCGCGGCGATTGGCTGGCTCGCGGGCGCCCCCTCCACCGGTAGCACGCGAGAAACAATTATCTGACGCCGAAGAATTTTTCCGAAATCTGACCTAATTCCCGCTATTGACGACTGCGAGTACGACGCAGTTCGAAACTCTCCGAAAGCTGTCCTCGAAAGAAAACCACCGGACAACGCTCCCCGAATAGGAGCCCTGGTAGCGAGATCTACCTGCTGCACCTGTTCGCGATCGTACACTTGCTTGTGGACCACCCTCAGGTTCTTCTTCCTCATGTTTGCCCGGCCGTCCAGTGTCCTCTCCTGTGTCACAATCTCATAATCCTCGCCGATTCTAGACCACTTTTGGCACCTGAGTCTAGCTCGCGCGCGAGCCTGGACAAGATCGATCGAGAACAAGCGGCCGGAGGACCGTTCACGGAAACGCGGAACTGATCACTGACGACGGCACCAGCGGCCGCTCCATTCAGCCGGTTTATCTTCGGCGGCCGAAGCGAGCGGAATCACCAAAACAGCACGTGTCACGAGCCAGCGAGCAGGGATACGGCTGGTAGCAGCGGTCCGCCGGCGGAGCGGCGTTCATTCCGCGCTGCGATCGTCCGAGACGCGATCATCCCCTGCTCGCTGGATCACCTGTCGGGCGCGGCGACGCGTACGAACGGGGTGACAAAGGAAGCGGAAGTTTCAGGAAGCCGGAGGAAACTGGAAGGAGCTGGAGGAAGTGAGAGGAAGCTGGCGGAAGTGGGAGGACGTAAGAAGAAGCGAAAGGAAGATAGAGGACGCGAGAAGACGGTGGCAGAAGCTGAAGGAAGCTGAAGGAAGCTGAAGGAAGCTGAAGGAAGTTAATGGAAGCTGAAGGAAGCTAATGGAAGCTAGAGAGAGCTAAAGGAAGCTATATGAATCTAGGTAGAGCTAAAGGAAGCTAAAGGAAGCTATAGGAATCTAGAGAGAGCTAACGGAAGCTAAAGGAAGCTAAAGGAAGCTAAAGGAAGCTATAGGAATCTAGAGAGAGCTAAAGGAAGCTAAAGGAAGCNAGCCGGTTTATCTTCGGCGGCCGAAGCGAGCGGAATCACCAAAACAGCACGTGTCACGAGCCAGCGAGCAGGGATACGGCTGGTAGCAGCGGTCCGCCGGCGGAGCGGCGTTCATTCCGCGCTGCGATCGTCCGAGACGCGATCATCCCCTGCTCGCTGGATCACCTGTCGGGCGCGGCGACGCGTACGAACGGGGTGACAAAGGAAGCGGAAGTTTCAGGAAGCCGGAGGAAACTGGAAGGAGCTGGAGGAAGTGAGAGGAAGCTGGCGGAAGTGGGAGGACGTAAGAAGAAGCGAAAGGAAGATAGAGGACGCGAGAAGACGGTGGCAGAAGCTGAAGGAAGCTGAAGGAAGCTGAAGGAAGCTGAAGGAAGTTAATGGAAGCTGAAGGAAGCTAATGGAAGCTAGAGAGAGCTAAAGGAAGCTATATGAATCTAGGTAGAGCTAAAGGAAGCTAAAGGAAGCTATAGGAATCTAGAGAGAGCTAAAGGAAGCTAAAGGAAGCTAAAGGAAGCTATAGGAATCTAGAGAGAGCTAAAGGAAGCTACGGGAATCTAGAGAGAGCTAAAGAAAGCTACGGGAATCTAAAGAGAGCTAAAGGAAGCTACGAGAATCAACAAAGAGCTAGAGGAAGCTACGGGAATCAAGAAAGAGCTAGAGGAAGTGAAAAGAAGCTAGAGGAAGCAAGAGGAAATTAGAAGAAGCTAAAAGAAACTGAAGGAAACTAGTGGGAGTGAAAGGAAGTTAACAGAAACTAGCAGAAGGTAGAAGAAGTGAAATGAAGCAAACAGGAACTAGCGGAGAAGCAAGATGAGGTAGGAGCTAGCTGAAGCTTAGCAGAAGCTGGGGGGGAAGTGGAACGAAGCTAACAGAAGCTAGCAAAAGCTTGGGCGGAAACTAGAGGAAGCTAGCGGAAGCCAAGAGGAGAGGCTGAGCGGCCAGATGTGGCGAGCAGAGAAGTTCGAACGTGAGTAAGCCGCTAGCGGCCGAGGAAATTAATTCGTGGAAAGAGAGAGAGAGAGAGGCGAAAGAAAGGGGAGGAACGAAATCGAGAAAGAAAGACCGAGCGCGGAGAGCGCGCGCTACCAGCCGGGGCACGGAGGAATGAAATCGTCAAGAGAGAGGAGAACGGATGTAGGGAGGTGTTTTTATGAAAGGCGAGCAGTGTGCGTTGACGTCAATTATATAGGTGGCCACGGCAGATAGCCGCGTCCGTGCACGAACCCCGGTCTTCTCCTTAATGGGTTAGGTTTAGGTCGTCGGAGAGGTTATCGGTCCCGGCTTCCTTCCCTCTCTGTCCCTCCGTGCCGCGTGTATCTCTCGCTCCCTCCTCGCTAGGGATTTTCAACGTAGATAAGTCGAAACGAGAAACCAAGTTTCTAGCTTCTTGCAGCTCAACCGGGAAATGGTGGGCCGAGAGCGACGCGGCGGGCGGAGGGAGGGGGGTTCAGCGGGAGCAGAGAGGGTGGATGTGCACTATTCAAGAGGTCAGAGGGAGGATTAGGTGCGCCAACGACACGCCGCACCGTGCAGCCCCTGGACCCAGCCGACTACTCTGATGTCTACGGCACAGCCGCGCAACACTCGGAAAACTCGACTCCATGCTTTTCCACGATCAGGATGAACGAACCGGAGAGGATATCCGAGGATGTACCGGCGAGAGTTTCAACGTGCTCTCTCTCCTATGCAACTTCTGGCTGGCATGTTTGCTTGTAACGCCAGCCAGCCTCGAGACGTAGCAACGCTGCCGTGAATTCCGCCTCGCTATCGCCTGATTGCCATGATGCCGCTGGTATTTCGTTCATTGGAAAATGCTGCGGCTCTAAACGCGCGACTAAATTTTATTGTCTCGCGACGCGTTCTCGGTTTGGCGAGTCGGCGGAACGTGTTCCCGGAAACCGGGAGTCTCGAAAGGCTTTACATTGTCGAATTGTTGCGTTATCGAATGCGCCGGGTCATGTGAAATGGAAACT